TCCCTACACCAAGATTAAAGACAAATCTACCCATGTTTTCTTGCATAATTTCACTTTTTACACTTATGCTTATGAAATTTCTAATGGCATGAACTGATGCTACTGTAAATATTAACTACATAAGAAATAAAACTGGATGTTCAGTATGATGTCAAATTTATAAAAATTAAATTTCATATGTTAACTGGCAACCTCTGAGAGGTAAGAGTATGGACATTTTAATTTTCCTCTTTACTTTTTTTTTTTTTTTTTTTTTTTTGTGGTAGGCAGGCCTCTCACTGTTGTGGCCTCTCCCGTTGCGGAGCACAGGCTCCGGACTCGCAGGCTCAGCGGCCATGGCTCACGGGCCCAGCCGCTCCGCGGCATGTGGGATCTTCCCAGACCAGGGCACGAACCCCTGTCCCCTTCATCGGCAGGCGGACTCTCAACCACTGCGCCACCAGAGAAGCCCTACTCTTTTTTATATATTCCAAGTTTACTCTAATAACTACGTATTTCTTTTATAATCAGAAAGAAGCACAATGTTATTATTAAACATTCCCCCAATAGTCTTCAGTGTCCCAAGAAATCATGAATATTAGTTGAAATGACTGATGTAGTCCAGGGATTTCTGTATAAGTGAGCTACTGTAAATGTCAAGCCAAGTACTTTGGTAGACTCAGAAAAGAATGGATAGAAATGGTTAAAATAATTCTGTTATGGTAGTGACAGATGTCAACAATGACATTCTTTTTAAGAACATCCTGAGAGAGAAGTGGACCATGACCAGTGGGAGCCATTTATTGATACATAACCTATTTGGGAAGGAGTACAGTGAGGTGGTGAAGAGTGTGGATGCTAATGTCAAATAGACTTGGATTCAAATCCTAGTTAATTCACTTACTACTTGTGTCACCTTGAGCAAGTTAATTAGCCTCTCTCATATAGTTTATGTATAAAATAGAGATACTGGGCTTCCCTGGTGGTAGTGGTTGTGAGAGTCCGCCTGCCGATGCAGGGGGCACGGGGTCGGGCCCCAGTCCGGG